GCAATCAATTTACAAATTCATGAATTATTCATACAAAAACAAATGCAAAGGTTAATGATTTAATTGGAGAGAAATCCATCGTCGTTTGTGTATATATATATATATATATATATATATATATATATATATATATGTGATGCATGAAACAGTCTGTCTGTGGATGAAAATATATATATATATATATATATATATATATATATATATATATATATATATATATATATATACACAAAAAGAAGACTTCTCTTCGTCGAAGCTTTTCATCATCTGATGGACTTATCAAAGAAAAAATAAAGATTTTAGTTTACAATGACCAGAAGTAAAAATCGAGGAAAATGATGAAGGATGCTAAGTGATATATTTTAATTTTATTTATTAAAACATATTTCAATATCTAATAAACGGAAGTGATTAAATGATGTTGTTGTTGTTGAATTTGTTTTCTTTTGTTTTTGTTTTTTATATCGAGAATTCCTTGATAAAAATCAAAAAAATATCTTTATTATTATGGGCCCTGTTTTGCCATCTCAGCTTCAGTCACTTTCCCACCGCCGTAAATACTTTCATGGCAATTGTTTAGATCTCCTCTTCGCTATTCGGGTGTGATTTTCGTATTTGTTGTGGCTGAATGAGTGATTGAGTAAATACTTGAGATCAATGGATGTTTGATATTATTAAAGCCTCGCATTGATTTCGTCCACTTAACTGAGATTTCTGCCACATTTAAGCAGGAGGGTGGGTCGTTACTAAGATTATTTTACTTATTTTCTTGTAAATAGTTTTATTTCGTGTAGTAAATTCTCATTGGGACTAGTTTTAAAATTGTTGTGTCATTCCCTTCCCCCGCCACCGACAAGGAATTGTACATATGGGGACTAGTTAGGTTTTTCATAGAGACAAAGAGGTATTATGGTGAATGTAGTAAGAAAAGTAAGTAAGGTTTTTTGGTTTAAGGTATATTGTATGTTTGGGACAGTATCCGTGGCTAGTAAAGTTTAATGTTAAGACAGAACAAGACCGTCTTTTTCTCCATTCCCCATTTTGACTTTGTGCGATATTTCTGTACATAGCAGAATAAACATCGCTCTTCGCTATTCATATTTAAGGATTGTGGAGGGGGGGGGAGCTTATACTAACATTTTGTTTTTGCTTATTTTCTTGTAAATAGTTTTGTAAATTTAGTAATAATTCATTGGGTTTGATTTTTAGATTTGTTGTTTTATCCCTCCACCCATAGACTTTGAATTGTACATATGGAGACTAGTAAGGTTTTTCATAGAGACAATGAGGTATTATGGTGAATGTAGTAAGAAAGTTAAGAAAGAGTGCGTATTTTGGTGTAAGGAATATTGTTTGTATGCTTGGGTCAGTGTTTGTGGTTAGCCAATTTTAATATTAAGACAAAAGATGACCGTCCTTCCCCCCCTCCATCCCCATTTTTGGGCCTTGTGCCACATTTTCTGTTTTAATACAGAAATAAATATCACTTACCTCTACGGTAGCTAGACGTTATGAATCTAAGCGCAGTGCCAGATTGGCGGCATGGTATCTTCATTTTACCTTTGAAATGGATAGATAAGCAAGTT